GTTACTTCAACACGCACCACAAAGATTCACGGCTACAAATTTAAAAACGGCAGACGGCTTCCGCCTTTTCGCGACATGAGACCTGTACCAGGCAAGGGTGAATTAAGTGAATTTATAACTAGGAGAGTGCCGACGTAGCGTCGGCGTGTTGGCTGGATATTGGTGATGGTCAGATGGTGGTTGCGCCCGGTACTCCAGCCAAACACTTTTTTCTTGCGTTAAGAGGATCTTTTCTTCACAGGAAATAGTAATACAGGTCGTTTTGGGCTAAACGAATTGATTTCCCCTCAAAAGCATCAAATGGCAAAAGAATCTTGAACTTACTTTAAGACTCCATGTTTTCTTAATATAAAAGCAAATATTTTCGCAGAAAGTAATTGTCCTTGTTCTGATAAAAGTGGCAAAGAAATCAATTCTTTTGTCATAGGTATATCATTTTTATCGGTGTATGGACTCGGCTTGGAGGTCTTCTTGGTTGTCTGCGTTCCTGATGAACCACGGGGCGTTTGTAATTCTTCTGAGGGCTTTGTTTTGGAAAGTTTGGAGTTTTTTCATGTTTGTGTTGCTTTGGTTGAAGAAGGCTGTTGAACCGTAGAGCATTTTTGTCCTGATGACTTGGTTGTATATCACATATTTGTTTTTTAGATTTAAGTGACTTTTGGATTGGAGTAGAGGACGGAGTCGGTGATATGTGGCGTTGCAAATTTTTAGTTTTTGTTGAGTGTTGTGGTTGAAGTTAAGCCTTCTGTCTAGGTGGATTCCTAAGGTACTTGACTGTGTCTTGCCATGAGATTTCGATGTCGTCAATGGGGAGGTTTTCTAGGTATGGTCTGGCCCATTTTTTGGAAATTGCAATGGCTTGCGTCTTTTCGGCATTTATTTCTATTTTCCAAGAATTTGCCCATTCCTGGATTTGGTCTAGGTGATTTTGGATTGAAGTGGTTATAGAGTCTGGATTTTTATAGGATGCGAATATGCAGGTGTCATCGGCAAATAATGAGATTTTTGTTCGTGAGGATTTTGGGATGTCGGCTTGGTATAGATTAAATATGATGGGGGACTCCTGCTTCTATTAGCCTGGTGGTTGATAAAGTTTTGTTTATTCTCACTTGGAACTTTCTTTCTTTGAGAAATTGTTTGATGAATTGGGTGAAGTTTGGTGGAATCGTCTGGTTTTTGTGAAGTTTGTATAGTAGGCCCTCGTGCCATACTTTGTCGAATGCCTTTTCAACGTCCAGTAGAATCAGTCCTATTGTTTTTTTTTTGTTAAAGTTGTCTGAGATTTCTTGTATTATTCTTGCTAGTTGTAGTTCAGTTGATAGGTAGCTTCTGAATCCAAATTGTTCGTCCGGTAGTATGTTGTTTTCCCATTTTTCGTTTTTGTATGTGTTTATAAGTTTATTGATCTCCTTGGTTGTCTGGTTCGCTTGTTTGTTGATTTGAAGGTTTTTTGTTAGTTCCGCTCTCCTTTTGAGTTTGTTCCTGGTTTTAATTTTTTCTTTTATATGGATTGGGAGGAGGAAAGGATTTTTTGTTTTAATGTTGATAGTTAAGGAGGTTTCTTGTAGGACTGTTTGAATGGTTTTTGTTAGGGTGACCAGAGTTTCTTCGATGTTGTTTGGGTCATTTGATGGTTCAAAAGTTGCCTTGTTTTCCAGTGGCTTTTTCTTTTGCCAGTTTGTTGTATTGATGGTATGTGGTTCTGGGTTGAGTAGGAGGTTTGATACTTGGATGGCTATAGGGGGAAGGTCGGAGGAGGCTAAGTCGTTGAGGTTTTTTATGCATATGGATTGGGGACAGTTTTTAGTTATTGCTATGTCTTGGATGTCTGAGGTGATGTGATGGAAGTGGGTAGGTTCGATTAGAGACAGGATTTCCAGTCCTTTGTCTATGCAGTAATCGTCGAGTGTTTTTCCTGCTGCGTTGGTGGATTTGCAACCCCTTTGGACGCTCTTTGCATTGAGGTATCCTGCTTTTACTGTTGGTTATGGAGAGTTAAATAGCGTGTCGAGGTTAAGGTGATTCCCGGTGGTTTGTATGCTGAGATAATTTCTATGTCTCCTTCCTGGTGGATGACTCTAATTGCAGTTAGGTACTTCAATCCTAGGGTCTGTATTTGGAGGCATGATTTCTTCGTGGGGTATGTTTTTATTTTATGAGGATTGCTGTTCTTCCCCCTAATCTGTTGTCTCTGTCTTGTCTGTATATTTTGCAGTTGGGCACTTTATATCTGGTTTGTGGTTTCAAGCATGTCTCTTGGATTAGGGCTATGCCTATCCCGTTTTCAATGAGGTACCTATTCGTTAAACTCCTGTCTTTTGGAAAAAAAACGGGAGTTCGCGTTCCAGCCGATCATGAATAGATTAGTTACTTTGTTGGTTGTATTATCCATTTAGTTGAGTTAGGAAGGCTTTCACTAGTGGATTTTGTTCTATTTTGGTATTTATACGGGTGATTATGCTGTCGATTTTCTGCTCCAGGTCCTAGTTATTTTGTGCGAGGAAATTCAGTATGGGGCTTTGGGGGTTTTGTGGGAGTGTGGGCAATTCTAGCTTATGATATTTGAGAATTGACTGGTTTTGGGGGTGGTTTTGGTATATTAGGGATGGTTGGTTTGAATAGTTTGGGTTTTTAGGGCAATTCCTGTAGCTTGCTGGATGGTCTCCTTCGCAATTTAGGCACTTGGCTGAGGTGTCCCGTGGTTTTTTGCACTCATTGTAATGGTGATTTCCTGCACATTTATGGCATTTTGGTTCGGCAAAACAGTTACTGGAGCAGTGGCCGAACTGCTGGCAGTTGTGGCATTGAGGAATGTGCTTTGTTGTTGGTGCTTTTTGGTGGGATATATAAACTCTCATCTAGCAAATGTGTGTAATTTCGAATAAAGTTGTTTGTTCTTGCGGTATGAGGAGTTTTATCAATTCTGTTTCATTGTTTCTATTTGGACCGGATTTGTACCATTGAATTTCTGATGGGCTGGAGCCTAGTTCTATCAGTTCTTTTTCGACAACTCCTAGGGAGAATTTGCTAAGACCTTTTATGATGATGTTCAGTTTTTTTTCCTCTTTTAGGAAATATATGTGGTAGTCCACGTTTTTTTTTTTAGGAGTTTGGTGGCAGATCTGTGGACATCCGAGGATTTTGGCAGTAATTGGATGGCGAGTGGATGTTTTTTGGTTCCTTAATGTTCACGTTATTGTTGGCTAGTAGCTGGTGGATTTTTAGCCAGTATTTAGGATCCCTTATTATAATTGGGGGAATTCTGGGTTTGTCGGGAGTTTCGTTTGGTTTGGAACTTTTTTTTGGAATTAGGATTTTTTTATATTGAGAGATTTGGATGTTGGGAGAGTAGTGGGTTTCCGTGGAACGGGTTTCTGAGTTGGGGAAAGTTTTCCATGGGATTTTGAGCCTGTTTGGGTTTCTGTTTCGGCTTCCATTTCTTCTATTTCATTCTCTGAATTGAGTTGAGAGGAAGTGTTAGATGTTTGTGTTTTCTTCTTTTCCAGGAGGAAGCTTGTGAAGTTAAGAGGTCGGGAAAGGGAGACTCAGATCTGTTTTTGAGTGCTTTAGATTGCTTTTCATTGATAGATATAGTGCAAACTCTAGTTTTTTCTCCATGTTTTTTACGAGTTGGTACTAGATTGTGGTAGTTAACTTTCAGGTTTTTGTGTTGGTTGGATAATGTATCCAATTCTGATCTCAGGATCGCTGCTTCATTAGTTAAGCGTTGTTCGTTGTCCACATATTAGGCTAAGGTTTTATCGTTTTCAATGGATTGGGATTAAGTTGTCGATTTCTTGTGAAAGGGTTTGGTTTGTGGAGGTCAGGGATCTGTTTAGTGCAATCAAGGATTTAGCTTTATCATGGGCACGAAAATGTTTATCAGTAACAGAGTCTGACTTGTGACAGTGTATTTGCCATTTTGGGTTTGGCTTTTTTCACTTTTGACACTTTCACTATACTTTTAACTGCACTTTTAACTGGTATCATTAATGAAGTACCACTCCGAAGCGTGGTAGCTGGTGGAACTTTTTCTTGAACTCGGCTATTGTTTGTTGGAGCTTCTAAATTTTGACTTCTGGGATCCAGCTTGACTGGATTTGGCTTCTTGCTGTTCAGAGTCTTAGGGCCGATTTCTTGAAGCTCCCTAAACTCTTAGAGCATGGCGATGGAAATATCTTCTTACTTCCGGACAGTTTGGCTTCTCTCTGTTTGAATACTACGACGATCTTGGCTGCTGCTTCGACACTCAATAATTCGTTTCAATGAAACGTCTCTAGATTTAGGTAATCTCGATTAGATCTACTGTGTCTTTTTTGTGCCATATAATACCATATAAATAAGAAATAAAATTAAAACTAAAACTAAGCCTTGTGGTACACGAAAGTCAATAGATTGTTTAGAGGAACTTTTGCTGTTTGCTAAGATACTGACGATACTGTGTGTTCTGTTAGTTAAAAATGAGCGAAACCATCTCAATACATTTCCTCAAAAACTATATACCTCTAATTTCTGAGCAGCATCCGGTGACTAACACAGTCAAGTGCCTTTGAGAAGTCACAGAACATTGCCGCAGTAGCTTCCCTATTTTTATAATGTCTCAAAAGTTGCTGAATTATTCGAAGCATAGCATCATGCGTGTTTTTCTATGGTAAAAAGCGAAATTGTGTGGTGTTAGAAATATTGTGCTCTGTCAAGAAATCCATCATACGTTTTTTCGACCAGTTTCTCGATAACTTTAGAGATTGCTGATAGAAATGATTTTGGCCGATAATTCTTGATCTGTATCTTCAAATTTTCTTTCAAAAGGCACACGAGCCGGATTTATTGTATCTCTTGTACTCTATAGGTACATTCAAAGATATAAGAAACTCACTCATACTTCTGTATTTACGCCTTTCTGCCGCCTGTGCGAAAACACCCTGTATGAATACCTACTCTATATTAGAGAAACAAATAATAAATACCTAGTAGGTTATATGGTTATATAATAATAATTCTATATGATAAGTTAGCTATATCCTATTCACAATCTGTAGTCCAAAGGTACAGGTTAATTTATCACCTTTCCCTATCAAATTGCATTGAAAGGTGATAAATTTCACCTGTATCTTTGGACTACAGATTGTGAATAGACAAAAGCTGAGCGCTGAGCTAATCTAGCTGTATCAGGTTTAACATATTTTAGGTACATAAGTACCTACCTACATATCTTTTGAATCTTGAAAAAACATTAATTTGGTAAATTTAAAAAAAATTTAAAAATATTTCAGTTACTAACTTAAGTAATTAATAGGTAGCACTAAATTTTATAATTTTGTTTCATTATAATTTCATTGGTTTACTTCAACTTCATCGTTATTGTCTCTGTTATACGTTATACTCTACAACTGTTTGCATAGCTCTCTGTTCTCCGCTGTCCATTTCTTCATCTTCTAAATTTTTCCAGGTATTTGGAAAAGGAATGTTGCAGATATTCTTATTCGCTAGTAATCTTCGAACACGTTTTCTGAATAATACCAGTACTAGGAATATCAAAACGCCTTGCAGTAAATTGATGAGATCGATGAGAAATCTGAAAGTTATATCTTCTATTACTCATGGATGGGTTAATTTTTTCCTCAAAAATAGATGGAATTGTCGAAAACTTATAATACACAAGTTTTGTAATAGAAAGGCGCCTTAAGCTTGTGCTCAAAATTCATAAGCTATATTTTCTCCACTTTTGATGCTCTTCTAAAGATTACAAATTTACTGATGAGGAATCATTCTGGTCAATTATTATTCAAGGAACCATAATATTGTACGTGCTTATGGATACTTACAAAACACTTTTGCCGGCTAATGAAGTAATATTAGTATCTGCAACAAATGTGATTATGTCCAATATCCAATTAAGACCCATTATAATAGATAATCGTGCACATAATTTTAGTCTGAAATTCAATATGATAAAAGACACCTATCTTAATCTTGCAATAACTTTACCTATATTTCAAAATTTTATTTCGTCTATTAACAACAGTCTTCCATAGAAAAGATATTGTCCATAAATAAAAAAATGTATTAAATATAAGCAGCACTAAAAGGGGGCCATAAAGATATATCCATGTTTCACGAGAAGCTTAAAACAAAAAAATATTTTCATTTCAAAAAACATTAACTATTACTACCTACTATCAGTAAGTACCTAGGTACTTACTTTTGAACCAACATTTTCCTTCCCCAAATCCAGGACGTATATCATCCCATATTTCTGAAGGAGAATGATGTGCCATAATGACAATAATTAGAGCCATTAACGATCCTCCTATGGCAAATATATGGTATAGGAGTGACCATTTAATTAAGCCTCGAAAGAGATTTGGTTTTCTGAAACGTTTTTATATGTTTAGATTTTGCAGACCAATTCCATTTAATTTTTTTTTGTAGAGAATTTCAGGTGCCCGCACTATACTTCAGGCAGTTGGCAGGTAGGTAATTCTTAAAAACTTCATATAATTACTATCTAGGAATACTTACGCGGTAACTCTCCAAATATGAAAAGACAAAACTAATAGCCACAAAAGTAGATACCAGAAAGTGAAGTACATAAGATAGGCTAATGCTTTGCAAGCTTTTATACCAAGGTTCTGTTGCAGATTTGAGGTTCCCACAAGAAGGAAAACACATGCATAAGCTACTAAAGCATGCATTATACATATCCCCTAGAATACAATTATTGTTATTTTATTTCTTGACCTTTATAAGGTATTTGTTTTTACCTGTAGATCTAGTAATTTTGGAACCATACAATATATTATTATAGTAAAAATTACAAAAATTGCTGAAATAATTACCAAGATCCCTCTAACTATATAATATGGTCTACTATGAAAGAGATCATTAGCATCAGAACTCCGATAGCAATAAATATAAATTGGACTAGTGGCATTCGGTTGGTCTCCATTGTTTGAGTAGCAATAGCTATAAAAATATTATCGCAGGATTTAACAAAGAAATGTTTCTCACCTCAGTTCTCGATCCTTATGATCCAGCAAGGTGCCATTATCCAAAAATCTAAACTGAGCATTTAAAAATATTGATTTAGTTTCAGTTGGAAGTCTCGTTGGACACTCTGAACTAATTTCTAAACTAATATCGGTTGCATTTATGTTATCGGTCAAACAGCTTTTGTTCGACATAAATAATATATTTTCTTCTGGACAACATTCGTAAATTGCCGCAACACTGAATATATTTATTGTCAAAACAATTAAGGCCGATAATGGTGATTGGAGCATTTTCTGGCAATTGATTCGCTGAAAAAAAAAAGACGAAGTACCTTAATGTACAAACGGGCCAAGAAAGTACCTGTTTGCGCCCTAATTTGCGGGCGCAATTCGATACTTTTCGGCCCGCCGCTACCATGATGTAGGTGACGTAGGTATCAAAAACTGACCAAATACTTCAAAACGAACCAAAATGATCAAAAATGGAATGTTTGTTTGGTTGGTAACTGCAGTTTCTATTAGTAAAGGAGGTATAATAAATGTTTTTGAAGAGACCACCATGACATTGGAGATAGGCAACGCCGAACTGAAGGCCGAACTGATAGTTGCTAATATAGTAAATGAAGTTATATGAGGTGTGAATGTCATAGAAAGCTTTTTAATCACCGTCAAATTGGGACTCTTAAGTTAAATTCATAGTCGACGAAGTTACACGATGGTGGATCGAACCAACAGCAGCAAACAGGCTGAATGGAACTCTTATATACCGACTAGTTAACGCTAACACGGAATGAATTGATGCCAAACAGGCAGGAACAGCTAGTTCTTCCGCGGAACGTATTCCCAAACTAGCCAACTTTACAGGTAGAGTAGCAACATGCCAAGTTTTCAAGTCCATTTCTATGTTAGTAATCATTTCACCAGCGAGTCTTAATTGATCATCGAAAGCTCGCAGTGAATCTATCTAGCGAAAAGATGGATAAGTGCGAAGTATATAAATTAACTTTAAAATGCTATAACCTACAGGGCCGGCTCCAGATATTTCGGCGCCCCGTGCAAAAGGTATCTTTGCCGCCCCTCTTACCGATTACTTTCCTACTTTGTAGTTCCATTACTACCTATTTGCTAAATTTACTTTTGATTTCAATTTTGTCCAGTGTTTTTATATGATATATACTATATTTTTATTATTTTTAAGTTTTTTATGGAATAATTTTGCCGAGGCATAACAAACTTGACGTCCATAAGGGACTGTGTGTGTATTTTATGTGAATTTCTGAAGTGTTTTTATCAGTTGAGAACGTTTTCTGATAGAATTATTTATTTTTGGCGTTGCTGTAGTGGCTCATGTAATTGATGTAATTTATGTTTTTAATTGTAGTGTAAGGCTGAGTGTACATTGAGGAAATTTAAGGAGTAGAAAGACTGCACGAGATACAAAGTCTTTTTACTCTTTAATTTATGTTTTTGACATTTATTTGCACAGCTTCTTGGGGTCCGTTTTGTACCCGATGCTCAGGTATTTTATTGGTAGATAAATATTCCAAGTAGGTAACTCGGTTTTAACGAACATTAAAGGAAATTGAAATTTATCAAATTAAACTCTCAAAAACAGGTAGAAATAACACACATTTATATGGAGGCAATGTTTGTTTACATTTCGGGCGTCGTCGCCATCTCGATTTATCAGCTGATTCGAATCGCCTAATTAGGTATTCCAACGACCTGTCAAAAAGTGCGTTGTGGCGGAAGTTCATTATCCCGTATATGAGAGTATGTAGTTTAAAGCTTTTTAAAGTGCATTTTGTGGTTGTTTTGTGAATAAGCTCTGTTTATTTTTTTATTTTATTGACTTCATTAGTGTTTCTTCCAATTAAAAATGCCACAAACGGATCTTGAAGTTGATTGTGGAAGTAGTTTCAACAAGGTAACAAGGATAATGTCAGGCTTTTTTCATTGCCTTTTGTTTTAAAATTTTCCAATTAAAACGTGAAAATTTTTCACTACCACTGTTCCTGCATCTGAAATAAAGCCATTTTCGAAATATTCGTAAGAATCTAAGTTTTTGTAGGCCTTCATTTGCTCATTAATGTGAACTGTGGATCAAAATGTCATCTGGACTTTTTTTTAAACTAACTGTTCGCCCAGATCCCGATTTTCCTGCATTCAAGTCTTTAAATATTCACTCTGCATCTCAAAAAGTATATTATAACAAAGTAAACTGTAATTAGCTTGAAAATATTCCAAATAAACTCAAGATAAACAACCAAACGTCAAATTTTCCACGGTCGCCATATTGAAAAATCACGTGGTTTGGAGAGCCTAATTGGCGGCAATCTGAGGCGGCAACTCTCAAATAACACCAAAACATAACCTGCAAATTGTTTGCGGACGAAATGTCATTGTTGCGGACGCCTGAAACTAGATCCGACGTTCTTCCATGATTTCATGAACACAAACGCTTTCGCGTCATATTGAACATAGTTCGCCAGAAGCATGAACGCAACTTCTAACCAGCGTTCAAACTCATGACGTCACAAGACCAACCATGGTAGGTCTTTGGATGAACTACATTCGTCGCGAAAATTCGGTTCAGGCTAGCGATAGGTGTTTTCGGGTTCTTGTGTTTCAAACTGTTCACGAACCATCCTGGAACTGCGCAGAACTAGTTGCGTACTTATTCAGTCCTTAGTTCAACAATTCTCCCCGACATTTTTGCCGCCCTTCGATTTTGCCGCCCTGTGCAGGGGCACAGGCTGCACGGGTCCTGGAGCCGGCCCTGATAACCTATAACAATGACGAAGTAGAAATAAGGCTTGTTGAGAAGGAATAGCGTTCAAACAAGAAGTCATGAGAGCGAGTTTATCAATTTTCTTTGCGATATTGCTAGGTGCAGCTTCATCAATCAAAGGACTACCTAGCAGAGACAAATCTTCCTTTGTCATAAATTTTATATCTGCCGAAAAACCTTTGAATTCACATTTTCCCCAGTTTATTTCCAAGCCATATTCGTTTTTTCTGAGGCAATAGTTTTAATATCTTGAAGAACGGTGTCTGGAGCTCCACCCAATACAGCTTCGTCCAAATACCATAATGCTAGAGGTGTAACTGGATCACCTTGTTGAAGTTCCCAAGCAGAATCGATGGTGTGTTCAAGGTATCTTAATTGAGAAGGATAGCGATATTGTTGCCAGAAAAATTGATAATACTCAGGAATAAATTCCTGAACCATTTCCAAGAGTTGAGGTCTGCTGACACAGTTAAAAGCGTTCCGGAAATCTAGTTTCAGAAAAACACGACATTCTACGTTTATAAAAAAACGCGCCGTCTGAACCATAGCCTCAGCACCACCTTTGCTGCCATAGCCCAATTGGGGGCGAAGTTAAGATCCATTATTGGACACGATTGCTGACAACTTTTCCAGCAATTCTTCTTATAGTATTTCCGATTGCTATTGGCCTAATTCCACCATCTTTTTTCATAAGAGCGCATATTGAAGCTTTGTAAAGTAGGCTACAAATACTGTCACAAACCTTTTTTCGGATCATTAAATCGACTACACCACCAATAGCGGATGACAAGTGCGCAGAAGAGTTGTTATTACCATTCAAGGTCAAGTCTATTATATGTTGAGGCCGTAAACCATCAAAAGCGCCAGCAGAACCATGTTTAAATGAATAAATTGCACGACGAATCTCGTCATTATTGATAGAATTAGGAAACTCGACTGTTGTCATTTTTAACGGGAATGAAGCAATGCATCTAGTTCAGCAGGATGTATTGCACGTTACTTCTCCAGTGTAGCAGTAGTGTTAGGTGCAATAGAGTCTTGAGAAAAGAGAACACGACGTATAGCACCTGTAATGTCACCATCGACTAGTTTGGCACCCACTCTGCGTTTCAACGCATTAGTATATGATTCTGTAGACAACCGAAAAGCAGCATTTTCTGATATAATATGCGCACCATTGCCAGAATTACCAGAAGATAAACTGGCTAGTCCCTTCTTCACTAAAACTGATAATGATTCCCTTCTCACTTTATTGTGCGGCAAACTAAGTACGTTACGAGGAAAAGAAAAAAGTTTATGCCAAAACTCGTCATTATTGGTTTTGACACAATTCTCCAGAATAACTGCCAATCCTTTGGCTACTTGAGGACGAACACTACGCGGAATACGTCTCATAATTCGTATATTACCATGTGATTATATAGAATATGGCCTGGATTGGAAAACTTCTTCAGTATTAGAACAAGTTGGTTGTGATTGAGTGGGACCAGATCTTAAGAGCGCCACCGTTTGTCTGATACATTTCTTACTATTCCGATATTTTACTATATTACTTGATCTTATGAATACTTGCTCACAACTGGAACAGGAATGATTGAGCGTGTGATTTGGTGGGTGCGAAGAAAGTATGGTCGTATTATTTTTGTGAAATAACCTGTTAAAGGAATTATAAGACAGGTAACATTTAGTGGCATTTTGATTTAAATCTTCTCATGTATCAATCATGGTTTTTAGAGAGGTGTAACTTAAGACCTCTCACAGAAGTAAATTTTTTCTTAGAAATTGTACATTCATTATTCAAAGGCCCCGCATTTTGAAGTTTCTGTCAATGGTATTAGGAAAATCGTCATTAATTTCCGATTCATTATCTGTGGAAGGTCCGGCATCACGGACGTCTTTTGAGGAATAAAATACAAAAAAACATAATACGCAGAATGCTACATGTCGAATAAAATCATTATAAAATTCGTCCACATTGTAATAGGCCTTACCAATCAAAATCTGCCAAATTCCTCTTTAAAATTGTTTCATTGTAGGAAGCATCTTCACCTCATTGAGTGTGCATTTTGATATACTTTCCGATTTTTTGATTAAAGTCGATGTTGGAATTGGCAATGGCAAATTGGGGTACTGGCGCGTATTGTAGTGTGAGCTGGGAGGTGGAAATAAGCTCTGACGGTTTTTGTAGACAATACACACGGTTTCCAAAATAAACAGACTGTACAGAGTCAGGATTTGTTGGTTCAAGAATAAAGGTTTGCACGAATCCCTCGGCCTTGCATGACATATATATCTTACTGCTCGCTTTTGTAAAACAAATAATGTACTTAGCAAATATAGGCTTAACATTCCCCAAAAGCATATACCATATCTAAAACGTGACTCAATAAATGCGTAATAATCCCATTGAGGGGCCCAGTCCTCTAACTGCATAGCACCCTGATGCTATGTTATTGCTTAGATTAACAATGTGTGACTCAAGCCTTAGTTCCCTGTTGATAACAAGTCCAAGAAACTTGGTATCTGGGCCACTTTCAACGATAGTATCCCCAATAACCAAGTCTTCCAAGTCACATTTGAAGCTAACAATATTAGTTTCGTCAAAATTCAGAATCAAAAGATTAGAGTCACACCACACTTTAATTTTTTCAAGGTGACCAGAAATGGAGCTCTTCAAAGTGGCTGAATCGCGACCGTGCAATTCCGAAAAGGGTGAACCAGCCATCAATTTCCAGTGTTAGATTGTTGATGAATAATAGGAACAGATAACCCAAAACAGAACCCTGAGGCACCCCCAGTCAATACCCTGACTCATCGAAGATCTAGACCTCATAAAAACTCTCTGTTGGCGATCAGTCAACTAAGACTTCGACCACGAGATAGCCGCATCTCTAAACCCATAGCGATAGAGCTTACGCAGCAGAATTTCGTGACTAACACAGTCAAAAGCACCATCCCCGTTGAGTCGAGAATACAATTCCTCCAGCACTCTAAACATTGCATCCTCAGTGCTCGTTTTTCTTGAAAGCCAAACTGATTACTGCTTAAAATATCATTTCCAGCTATAAATGATGTCACTCTGGTTTTACAACTAATTTTTCAATAAAAAACAAAAAAATAGGGCGATAATTTAAGGATTCATTTAAGTCACCTCCTTTATGAAGGGGAATCACTTTAGCGGATTTCAAGCAAGACGGAAAAAGTTCCTGAAGGATTTCCAATCGAATGACAAACCGCGGCTGACAGTGAAGAAACTATATGAGTATTGTGATGCGAAAAACAGAGGCCTCTGTTAATGAAGCGTTCTTACCTTTAGAACTTATGGAGAACTTTAAAAAGAACTGGAATCATTTTGGTCAACAACAACAACAATAAAAGAAGAAGTCATTGATTTTGTAAAACAAGAAAGCTGATCGCTGTGTCCTATATAAAATTACTGGATGAACCAATCTAGTAGCATATCGCATATCACACACACATCAACACAGAAAGTTCCTCTTTGCCAAACACCATGAAGACTTCCTTTCGCAAAGCAACCCATTCTTCAACAAGGCCCCATAGAAGACTGTACTAGTCCAAGGTCATCTCCGCTTGTACTGGTTACGAAAATAGACGGTTCCACGAGGTTTTGTGGGGAGGTTGGCTTTACGGAGAAAGATAGCTACCCATTATACCGGATTGACGATTCCCTTAATACTTTATCAGGATCCAAGTGGCTTTCAACTCCAGACTTAAATATTGGTTGGTAGAACCCGATACAGAAAATGAGCAAACTGCCAGAAACAGACGTTTGGATTATTCAATGCACCTACCACTTTTGAAACCCACATTATTGTATCACCGAATTGGATTTTGTGGCAAGCGTGAGGTCCAAAGCTTTATCTGTGTGCGGAAATTCCTAGTTAGAACCGACGATATTTTAAAGTAGCCGCTAAATTTCAAAAAAAAAAAACTGCCCAGTTGCGCATTGGCTAGCGAAATTACAAAGTTATGACTACCAAATCAAACATTGCAAGATTCATGCCAATGCTGATAGGTCAGGAACCGAAACTGAAACTAACAGTGACGAACACATTATCAAAGAGGAATTTGAGAAACAACGAAATGATGATAAGGAATTGGAGATGGTGCGTGCCTGGCTAAAATAGAAACAATCAATATGGCAAGAAATTTGCAGTATTGGTCAAACAGTAAAGGCATACTGGCTTCGATGAGATGTGTTGGGCCTGCGAAATGACTTAATCACTCGTGGATGGCAGAATCCAGATAGAACAAAAGCCTGTATATCAGACCGTTCTGTCACAGGCTATGGTGACTCGGAGTGGGGGCCACTTCAGAGTCAATAGGACGATGCTTTGGAAAGAAATCGGTATTATACTGAATACGCTGTTGTAAGGTTTTTGTGCCCTGTGCTTCTAGTGGAAAAATCAAGACACGACACGAACTCGAGAAAAAATGAAGCAGTACTTGGCTGATTTCCCTTTCGATAGATATCGCAGGCCCTTATCCTTATTTAGAGTCCTGAAATAAGTAGGTACCTCATTGTTTTACTATGTTGACTATTTTCCAAACTGACCAGAAGTAGTTCCAATCACAGTTACTGAATATCTTCTTGGAAAACATCATAGCCAGACATGTTGATTCTAGATTATTGAGATTAGTACGTTTATTATAAGATGGGAAAATCACTCGAAGAAAACTATTTGATTTGAAATGTAGACTAAGAAAAATGTCACGATCTCCTGTTTACCAGACAGGAGATCGTGACAATATATATTTAGGATTATATTTGCCAATTGGTTTTCAAAATATCTGAAGCAATAAGACGTAAAATTTTTCTTCCAAAATCTGAATCTTCACTGAAAAAAAAAATAATTTGGTCCAAAGAAAAATGGAGTTCCCTTCAATAAATATTTGGTTGATAATGGACAAACAAATATTTGTTTAAAAAAAAATCTGAATTTGTTTGACCGTTTTCATTCCGTTTGCTTGAACTAAATTATTCTTAGTTTAGCTCAATATCAATCATTTTGACAAAATAAATAAATATTTAGTTCTAGTAAGTAAATCATGCATTAGTTAGCTCATAGCAAATATTTAAATTAAATAAATATTTATTTATTGTAAATGAAACAAGTGTTTGTTTCAACTTCTTTTATTTTGAACCAAATAAACAAATTGTTCCATTTAAAGCTTGATTTGTTCCATCTAATTATGTTTTTATTCTAGTTAAATCAATAAATTATTGTGAAGCTGCACAGGAGGGTCCTTCTCATTCAGTCATTCATCGTTATTCTCTTTTCCTGTCCCATCATCAATGTTTGGAATCTGATTCACTTCGATGGCACTTCTGAAAATTTTTGCAGGTGGTTCGTCTGATGCACAGTTTTTGTGGTGGCAAGTATCGTACATTGAATTAAATCCGAGGTCTTACATTGGAGCAACTCGATACCTGTCGAACGGAAAATATTGCTGGTTGCTCTAATGTGAGACCTCTAATTTAAATAAATGTAAAATACTTGCGTACAATATTATTACGAATTGCCTATTGCTTGTTGCCTCAGTGTGAGAGGATGTTTGTCTGGTCCAGGTAGAAATAAGTCCCCAATAAAAATTATATCGGCCAAGGCGACGTATTTTTTTGTTCCTGGAGACACCATTTGGCATGATTTGGAAATATTGTGAATGATAACTATTATGTAGGTATTATAATTTCAACTTACTGTGTATTAAAGGCCACAGATATTGCACACACACTTCTGCCAAAAGATCTTCCATCTTGCGGAAACCACTCCGAAAAATAAAAATTCAAAGTAAGACCATGCGACGCGTGCCAAACCAACAACAGGAAAGAGCGAGCAGTGATGCACACAGCACAGTATTCGGAACTCGAGCATGCGCGTAAATTGCCAAATGTCTACAAAGATCCCAGTTATTTGAATTTTGGTCATGTTTATTTTGTAAAAATTCCAGAATATTTAATTTAAAGTAGCTGTTATTTCGTTTAAAAAATCTGAATATATTAGATTAATGGTGTTCGTTCTAAATACATATTTATTTAATAATGCAACTCGTATCATTTTAAGAAGTCAAACAAATAATTTGAAAAAAACCAAATACACAGATTTATTCAAACCAAATACATTGTCGTTGGTTTAACTAATCATTATTTGGGTGAAATAAAAAAAAATCAAATAAATATTTATTAGGCAAATTTTTCACTAATTTTTTCAGTGTTCAAATATCTTTCTCAAAGATCAAAACGAAAACATCAATATTCAGATGACTTTTCTTAAGTTTTAACTCCCAAGTAGGTATTCTACTAGGCCACTTGTTACTCGTAAGAAAGAAATGATATAAATGTTTTAAAACTTACTGCTCAGTTGATTAATATTGTTGATATTTCACATGCAAACATATCACAAACCCCGCAAACCCAGCAAAAATACGTTCTTATTGACTGCGACTTTGCATATAATTATTTTAGATGGCCTTTGCCCCGTGAAGTGTACTCAAAAATTTTTAGTTACTAAAAATACACAAACTAGGATTATTTCGTTTAGTGTGACGCTTGATGCCTGAAGTGTGAAAAATCGGCATATTTGCAATTATATGTGTTGTTAGATAAGATGGGTCAGCATTGGTCTCGCTTTATCTATTTATGTTAATACAAGTGATAGTACCTATCAGTTTTGTTATTTTTGTTTTCGTGTTGGATCCACCAAACAATAACCACAAAATAAAATAAAAAATCCAGCATGTTTTCTGTTATTCAGGATCCAGTATCCTGTATTCCCGTTTACTGCCTCTCGTAATAGGCTCTATGAAGTAGGCAGGCACGATTGAAGCACAAAAGTTAAATTTAACGTAATCGTTTAACGATTTGTTAGTGTTTCAATACCCAAATTAGCCACCCTTGTATTTTCGGAGATATTTCGGTTTTTTGAAATTGCGCCTGATGCTTACTTCACATCCAGCAAGAACAAGGGAAGCCCGAAGCACCAACGTTCAGTTACAGATAAATGGTTAGTGCTGTCATCCCCAAATTAGCAACCCTTAAATTTTCAGAGATATTTCGGATTTTAGAAATTGCCTTCTTACTTCACATCCAGCAGGAACAAGGGAAGCCCCAACATTAATTCAGTTACAGATAAATGGTTAGTGGCATTGTGCCGAATGTGCTAGTGTTATTGCGAATTTCCATACACAGAAAAAAAAAGTAAACAAATCTAAGAACCATCCTGACTGCCAAGTGTAAGTACGAATTGTAATATAACAAGAAAAAAAATTAAACACATCCGGGGGTCATCAGCAGATCAACATGACCGCTAGACCTCCATTTTTTGTCTAAGGTAAGCAATAATCTTAATTAAATGTCAACTTTTCTTCACTGATGTATATCAGTACCTATAAGGTACTAGGACAACCAACCGTAGTCTCAATGACAAATGCAACGATATACGATGATCTCTTTAAGAAAAAAAAATTATTTCTATCATTTACTCTTATACAGACTGTATAAGCAATAGTATAAGAGTAAAGGTGGAACGTTACTCTCAAATACTTAATGCAGGTAAATCACTGATATGCTTAGCTTATCAACATATCTTAGATATCCTAAAGTTCAGGTCAATTTGCCTCCGTAATTGGAAATTCCTTAAATTTAGTTTTGGAGATAGGTATTCAGGTCAACTGAAAAATGTCATCCATTCCTTGGCTTTAGCTCATTTAGACCCCCTACAGTAAATTTCTTGACTGAGGTCCAAGTATTCCCTGAAAAAAAAAAAAAAAAACATAGCGAAAGAAATCACTGACCCACTATGAAGAGAATTGGAGCTAATACAGTATCTTGCGGTACACCAATTTCTTTTATCAATGGGTCACTATAGTGAAATTAATAAAACAGTGTATACACGTGATCAAAATTTATGACATAAGTACGTCGTAATGTTGCCGCTATTAACTTTCGTTTTACTTTGACATACCATGTCTAGTAAAATTTGTTATCACTAAAGCAAACAAACATCGATTTTTATATGTGTAGATAGTGTATTATGAACACAATATGAAAAAATACTCACTTTTTTTATACATGTCGTAAATTTGATTGCGAATAAAGCTAACATCAAGGTGATCTTGATTCTTGATTCGTAATCCGCTTCTTATGTGGACGTTTTTTCTTTGGTGAATTTAACGCTGAATTATCCCTAACTTTTTGAGAGATTTTACTCACAGTGGTTATACCAATATTCAGTGCAGCTGCAACACGCTGGAAAAATATTCCCAATCAAAGCCCCAGAAGATTTATATTTGATAGTATCAATATACTTCACCTCGAACGCTATTTAATGGCAAAAAGGGGCCCCCATTATCTCGTTCCTGTTCAAAGAAACTAATTAGAGACGCAACGAGTTTCTGACTTTGACTATTCAATAGCTTTGGCATTTTATAGATACACAAAAAGAAATAATTTCAAATTATTAAAATCAGTAACCGCAGATTTGCAGCAATATTTGGCAACATAACCCACGAGTGCCAACCTAAATGCCATTTTGTCGGCCGATTCGATTAAACGCTAACAGTGTTCTGTCTTTTTTTAACTAAGGTTAAATAAAAAGGAAAATGAGCTCTCAACTTGAAACGAATTTTAATTTCTTATAAACTGCAATTGGCAATAATTTCGACGTCATTGATCACGTGCATACACTGTTTAAATAATTTCACTATATTAATATTTCCTATTGTAACAATCTGGTATCGGTTCTCGGTTCTCGTGATAGCTATCAAAATCGTCCAACTTGACACCTCCCATAAGATTTCAGCACCTACCAGATCCAAAAAGATAGTCAAGCACTTATTGCCATTGTCAAGACAGCTAGAAATTGTTTTTCGAAATTGGAACCCTATTCTTTCAAGAGTCTCCTATAAGGTTGTTCTTTTCCATTTTATTCCGGTTTCGTCCCTATTAAATCTATCCATCAGACTATCCAAGGTTGGTATAATTAGTTCTTCATACATTTTATAAATTTTTATTCCAATTGAGTTTTTTCTGTAATTTCTGAATCTTTTATTTTGCTCATAAATTAAATTATCGCCTTGAATGCTGACACTCTGGTGAATGCCAATAATAATTTTAAAAAAATTGCCGCCAATGATATTGTCCTATTCTTCGTCCCATGTAAATTTTGACTACCGACCAGGAAGGATGAGCCTGGCCTGGGGGCAGCCATCTTCCTAACAATTTACTCTTATAGACAAAATGCGATAAAATAGTGTAAGCAACGCGTTAGCAAAGGGTTTTACCAATTTCACTAAACTTGGTGCTTAATATACTATTATACTGCGCCTACCTTTCCAAAGGTGTGCTATAGAAACGTTTCATCTACCTTCTATTACTTTGCCGTTTAAATTACTATTTATCAAAATAAATGAACACATTTAAAACATTTTTGAGAAAATGACTTTCAAAAGTGTTTTGAAATATGTCGCGCGTGCTTTAAAGGCCCTCTTATACACTTATATCATAATATACTATCAGGTGTGTTTCTGAATTTTCACATTTCAATATTTTGCGTAATTTAATTAGGTACCTATTTATTTTAACAAATTTAGTGGCGCCCTAGCAATTCTGTACTTATTTAACTATTGACCCACCCCTTATAATTATTCGCTGAGCAATAACTGAGCATATTATGGGCCTCTTGTTAATTCGTTAACAAAGAGGGTTTCACTGCGTCACACTGTTGAATGTGACTGTTTCGTGAGGACAGTCTTTTTCAAGGCTTTTGCATGAAGCATTCCACGTTCACCAATATGGTATAAACATTTTTTACAACTTCTTTAGCATCTGTGGATAAGTATAGGTATATAGACGTGTTTTACGGCTATCATTCCTACGGAACTACTTGTCAAAGGTTCATTGATTAATGGTTGCCGAAAATCCCTAATTTTCTTAAGAGGCGAAATCACTTCCTTTCCATATACGCAAGTCTCGTGATTTCTATCACAAAAATATAAAAATGATCTCTAAATACTTAGTGCACAAAAATAAGTTTTCTGGTTTGAGCCATTTGAAGTTGTTCTTTGCAAACATATATTTTTTTGATAAGTGGCATCTAGATATTTATATAGATAATAATTTAATGCAATAATGGGTAATGCTTATAGTTATTGAAGTCTCATTAAATGGATTTATATGGGTGAATAAGCAATCTAAAGTAGACCACTTTAATTCCATGCACACTTGGAAGAGAGCATGAAAATATTTTCATAAGAAATTTTCTAGGTACTTTTAATATTATACTTTGTAGTTTAAGGCAGCACTGTGCTTGGAAGAGTGAATAAATCAAGCTCAGGATCAGGAAATAGCACATGCATAATGCAAATGCAGCATAAGATTATAACATTTCTTGAACAAAAAATCAACAAAATTGACTAATAATCTCGAGACAGCAATGAAAGCTTCCTTACGAGGTTTGTATACTATTTGCAACTACCATTATTTGGAAATTAGTTATTAATTTTTCAATAATAAATAATACAATTCCAAATTCCCAGTGAAAATAATTACATCCCAAAACTTTGAAATCTGTGATTTAGTTTCCTAAGATCCAAATTTACGTCTCTTTGTAACATTTTCTACTCTACAATTCACGTATACTAACAAATAGCTACCAGCAAAAAATACTTGAAAAAAAAAACCCTATTTGAGTTCTCCGAAAGACCGTTATCCATAAAAAGTAGGGTATCTTCGCCTCAAACCGAATATCCATTCCCTATTTGCCCAGGTTACGTTTTGGCAAATTCGCAACGGACGAAGCCGACAAGAATGTAATTTTGCCAGGACGAGTCCCCAAAGAGTTGCGGTCCTCCCGTTTCGCAAACAGTCCGGTCTCACGCTACATTCTTAGGACGTGAACGATGTCCCGGGCGGAATTCTAATCTTCTCGTTTAAATGGAATTTTTGTCCCTTTCTAGCTGGTCCCGACCACGTGTAGGTATCAGGTGGATACAAGGACTTGAAAACTTTAATGGAAATGATAGTATTTTTCAGAATATTGCATGTCACCATATTCGTAAAAAGTAATATCAGTGACCTAGAAAATTATTGTTCCTATTATAAAATGCTAGCACTTCAAATTATTCAAATTCATATCGTCGTCATACTGGAACATCATGACATCATCAATCTGAACCAACGAGATTGCTTGAACTTTGTGGTATGAAAATAGATTATTTGTGAAACACTCAAACTTCAACTTTATTAACCAGTAATTGCACAATGAGTTCCAACATATAGGTGCCTGTCGTGAATCATAAAATTAGGAACTTGCAAACCAAATGACAATTTTTATTATTATGAATAAGACCTTCAACTAACTGCATGTAGTCTACACTCTATCCTTTAAGCTGCTATCTACATTTAGTTTCTATTCAGAAAAAAACCCATTGCAGGTGAATAACTTCAACTTCTTGCCTTCTCTGATGGTATGTCAAGATCCCAAGTTTTACATAGCTCTAAGTTGTCAGCTATTCCTGAACAGCAACTTTCCAAACTTAGTTTTCAGCCTGAGTAGCTCTGTGGTACCTCTTACAGAAACATTGCTGCTGATAGATTATCATCAAGCGCAGAATTACTCTCCGGTTCCAAGTCTTTGTCAGAATCATAAGTCACTTAAAAAAGTGGGTTTTCGGTGATTTCTCATGCTTC